TGTGTGTGTGTGTGTGTGTGTCTAGTATATAATTTCATCCATAACCCTTGCGCTCGTACGTTTTTCTTAGGAACTGTTTGCATGAACTCGTGGAAAGGAAAATTTGGAACTTCTCTAAACTACCTCAGGCAGACTCGTATTTCAATGGCATCTTTGTTGTCATTCTGAATTCCTTCCTCTGCAATAGCTACCTTTGCCAGAGCTAAGGTCCTACCAGGATACCTTCCTCAAGCTTTCGTCAGTCTTGCCTCGACAGTAGAAAGGTGGTCTCCCTGTTCCTGAGAACATCGTCCAGTGACTGACGGGGATTCACAAGGCTGTGCACCAGTCCAGAGCAGAGCCAGTCCCTTCTACTCCCAAGTCACGCAGCTGTCGGGACCGCACGAGCACTCCCTCATTAGTGGGTTCAGTGGTGACTTGGCCTGACAATGGGGCCTGCAAATGCAGGAGTGGCAGGAAACTTTGCCAAGGGAGTGGGAGCAGAGGGCACCGTTTTGTTCTCTTTGGACAGCTAACTGCTTTTGGAGTGGCAATTGTCAGAATTGCAGTCTTTTCCTGAAGCCTCCTGGATAATTGGGAGAGTTGGTCTCTGTGCCGAAGGCCTGCGGCTGCCACAGTGGTCCAGATTCCTTGGGTGCGTGTTTGTGGCTGGCTCCTCGCCCTTCTCGGGCCAGCTCTGCTCCTCTGAGCTAGAGCCTAAAACCGACCCCTCAAGTTCTGGATGAAATGATATACCTGGCTGAACAGCTTCACATCAAATGATTTTCTAATTAACTGATCCATACCCTTGAGGCTTTCAGTTTTTTACAAAACCAATATTTTTCAATAAAGTACCGAAAGGACCATCCCACTTAAACACCCAATCACTTTTCAAGTAACGAATGGTATCATTTGCTGTTATGCCCCATTGTAAGAGACCATCCATGTGTTCTCTTGTCCCACACGTTGACGATGCCAGCCTTTCCTGTGCCGGACCCACTGCCTGTGCCGCAGCAGCAACAGCTCAGTGAGAATAGTCAGGAACTTGCTCATCGGGCTTGCTGGGTCCTGTGCAGCCTCTGAGCCTGAGGGGACGCTCATGGGATTATAGAGCCATGTGGGGCTGCCCTCCCTAATTTAAGTGGCCCTGGATGCTTCTTGAACTTTTGTCTTAAAAAAAAAAAATGTGTCCGGATGGATGACCTAGTGGGTTACAAGTTGGATTTCTAACTGCAAAGTCAGCAGTTCAAAACTACCAGCCACTCTTCAGAAGAAAGAAGAGGCTATCTGCTGCCATGAGAATTTGTCTCAGAAACCCCCGGGGGCAGTTCTGCTTTGGCCTATCAGGTTGCTTTGTTTGGCTAAGTCGTGTACACACACACTAGAAAATTCAAAAAGGATGGAGTGTGGACTGAAAAATAAGACTCCTTTGTTCCTGGCTCTTCAGTTCCTTTCCCCACAGGCAACACAGTTTCTTTTCCATCTTTTCAGATACTGTGGTGCGTCTGCATAGACGCCTTCTCCCTACCCATCAATCATACCTCGTAGGCGCTGTCCTGCCCTGTTCATGGACACTGGGACACCCACAGATGCCCCATTCTGCCATGGTTTAGCTGGTCCTCTGTCCATAGACGTTCAGATGGTCTCCAGTCTTCTGGGAGCTCCTGGGACAGTGCTGCAGTGATGCTGTCTTAGGAACCCCATTGAAAAGTTGGGAGGCCATTGCCATGCCTCCCTCTACCCCCTTTGCCACACCGCGGCCAGGCCTGCCTGCTCCCCACTCTGCCCTCTGTGCGTAAGGTTATCCTCCTCTGTTTTAAAGCCCGTTTGCTTTTCCTGTGAATTGCTCAAGTCTTCCGTCAGGTTTCCCCCTCCGTTTTTTTCTACACAGGTTTGGAAGAACTCCGTGTTTCCTAAAGAACTTCGCCCTTGTGGTGTTCGCTGCAGATATTGGCCTCTGCTTTCCAGCAGCCGTGGCCTTGGGGGCTCTGCAGTCCTTCTCCCGGCCCTCACTTTGTGTCTCCGTGTGTGAGTGCTGGTGCTCCTCCCTAGCAGCTGTTCCTCCCTTGTTAGAGCTGTTCGAGACCACCAACCACTCTGAAGGAGAAAGAGGAGGCTCCATACTCCTGTAAAGAGTTACAGCCTCAGAAACCCACAGGGCCAGTTCTTTCCCATCCCACAGGGTCACTGTGAGTCGGCATCGACTCGGTGGCAGTGAGTTTGGTTTGGGTTTGGTTTCTGTCTCTTAGAACTTCCTGAAAAGACAAGCAGATACACTGAGTTCCTGCACACTCTACACTGGCCTCGCGGTCGGGGGATGCTATGGTCACTCCAGACTGCATAGACCTGTGCTGTCCCTTCATACTTACTTATAGGAAGGGGGAGGGACTCAAAGGCAGGACCCTCGAGAGTGACAGGCTTGTCGGCCTGGGACAGTGCCGTCGGACCACCAGCCCTTCCTGTGCTGTGAGCTTAGGGGTCCTGTTAGTGCGTTAGCTTCTGGGTCACTCTGTGCTTAATGTTTCAGCTCATTAGTGGCCTGTGACCTTGGCTAAGTCATGTCACCTCCTTCCCCAGGAACCGTGGGAATGGCGCCTACCATGCAGGTTGTTAGGCAGTGTCAGTGGAGCTGGCTGCTTGTAGCAGGAAGGAGGAGGGCTGGGCTAGGGAGCAGACCTTTCCTTTCATTTTGGAGTCCTGCCTGCATTTTCCAGATTGAAGCCCTCTGCCGTTAGGGGGGGCCCCAGGAACTCTGGGAAGGAAAGACACCCCCAGCAGCCTGGTGAGATTCTGCATGGTCTTAGCATGTCATCTGACTGTGTCCTCAGCTGTACAACAGGAAGGGCCAGCCTTTGTTTGATTGGTTTCCAAGTTCTCATCTCCCTCCGCAGGGAAGCGGCACCCCATTCTGCAGGCTGTGACCTCTGTGACTGGTAGCTGGCGTGGGAAAGGGGTCCTCGCTGGTCAGTGAGTCTGGGCTGGGTCACAGACTCAGAAGGGCTCGAACAGTGCTGTCAGTTTGGCTCACAGTGGCTCTACACCGTGGCTCTGGCCTGTGTCCTGCTCTGGGAGTGGGTCAGGAGAGGAGTCCCCTTGTCATCCTGTGGTTGTGGCAAGTCCAGCCATGGTGGGCTGCAGTCCTGGGGAGTGGGAGCATGCAGGAAACCTGGCGGTGCTGCTCGCTTTACCTCGAATAGGTCGGCCCCCGGCTGTACGAGCAGGCTGACGTAGTCTGGACTGCAGAGGCTTGTGGGAGGCGCCCAGGAGGGTCTGTGGGTAAAGCAGACGGCTTGGGTGCCAGGGGTGGGCATGTAAAGGTCCTCCCTTCTCTTTTGCAGAAGCCCCGCCCTGTGTGTCCCTCGGAAGCCCTTCCCTGAGCGGCCCTTCCCTCCACTGCCCCTCGGCGGCTGTCTGCATCGGCATCCTCCCGGGGCTGGGTGCCTACTCCGGGAGCAGTGACTCGGAGTCCAGCTCAGACAGCGAAGGCACCATCAATGCCACAGGGAAGATCGTCTCCTCCATCTTCCGGACCAACACCTTCCTCGAGGCCCCCTAGCTCCCTGCCCGACACAAGGGGGGACTTCTCCCCACCAGTAGAGTGGACGACGTCTTCTGCCCACAGGCCTCCCTCCCCTTACCTGCTTCCTGTGCTCCATGGCATCGCTGAGCTAGTCTAAACATGAGCCAGAGTTCACCTGGG